CCTCTGTGCTTTCAAGAGGGGAACTCCCCAGCCTGTATGTATGCTGTGGATTCCTTCTCCCAAGGTGCAGCACCCTGCATTTGCCTACATTGAACCCCATCCTATTCTCATCTGCTCACTTGTAGTCTGTCTAAATCTATTTGCAGCCTCTCTCTCACTTCAAGTGTGTCCACGTCACCCCCACATCTTAGTGTCATCAGCAAACTCGGACAGAGTGCTTTCCACCCCCTCATCCAAGTTGCCGATGATGTTAAACAGTGTGGGCCTGAGGACCAAGCCCTGAGGTAGCCCACTGCTCACATCTCGCCAGGTTGAGTACAACCCGTCCACCACTACTCCCTACATTGCCTGGTGCAAGGGAACTTCTTGCTCCCAATGTACTTGAAAAAGGACTTTTTGTTGTCCTTAATCCTGGATGCTAGCTTAAGTTCCATCTCTGCCTTGGCCTTCTTAATAGCCCTCCTACATTCATGGGCCAAGGAGGAGTACTCCTCCTTGGTGATAGCTCCTCCCTTCCACTGGTTGAACACCCCCCTTTTAGTCCTCAGGCGCAGCTGAATGCCCTTGCTGAGCCAAGGGGGTTTCTGAGCATTCTCACCCCCTTTGCTTCTCTCAGGGACTGTTATCCTTTGGGCCTGGAGGATCACCCCCCTTAAGGTACAACCATCCCTCGTGGACTCCCAACTCCTCTACCTTCTGGGCCCTCAGTGCCTCCTCCACTAGTCTCCTAGGCTCACTGAAGTTGGCCCTTCTGAAGTAAAGGGCTTTAGCCTTGGTATAAGCCCGTGACACCCTGTGTTGGATAGTGAAATCCAGCAGGTGATGACTGCTATTACCCAGGTGGTCAAAGACCTGCAGTCCCCTCACCAGGTAATCCCCCATGGCCAGGACCAGGTCCAGCAAGGCATTACCCCTAGTGGGGTTGTGCACTTCCTGGATAAGGTGAAGGTCCTGTAATAGTCAGGAACCTACGTGAGCGGTCAGACCTGGCTCTCTGCTCCTCCCAGCAAATGTCTGGGTAGTTTAGGTCACCCATGACAATAACATCCCTTGACCTAACCGCCTCCATAAGCTGATGCATAATGCAACCTACCCCCAGGGAATTTCATCTCCAATCCAAGATAACTTCTTTCCTAGATGCCTCTTCATGTGCATGCATATATGCTGGCTGAGGGTAACACTGTTTTTGTACCATGGTCTAGTAATTTCTCACTATTACATATGCAGGAATCTTGATAGGCAGAAATTTGGTAATTTTATCGATCCAGTTTAAACCTTCAAGTTTTATTTGAAATTACTTTCATTTTTTTTAAAGACATTAACATCAGTTTTAGTCTTTAAAGTCACGTGAGAATAAAAAATATACCCAACACTTTCCACATCGAAAGTTGTGTAAGTAGTGATGTTCCATGCTTTTATGGATATTGCTAGTCACTCTGGAAAACATTATTAAATTTACAGTCCCAAGCAACTGTGAGAAGTCAGTCATCAGTAGAAAGAAAAATAAAGATCTTGTTTTTTCTAACCAAGCAATGATGACAGAAGAACTGGGTTTTGAATGGAAGAGGGGAGGGAAACAGAAACATTCAGTTGGAAGAAACTTCTCTTTCTAAAGTTAGATAATTTAAAATAAATAAGCCTCCTTAATCCACATAGCCAACTGAACGCTTTATAAAAAAAGATTTTTAGAGCATCTTGTAAAAGGTCCACAGGTGAAAACTGAGAATTCGGTAAATATCAGTTTTGGCATATCCTTAAAAAAGATAGGAAAGGAAATTATAAGTTGTTGGTAACAGTTTCCTTAATGGAGATTGCAGGAGTAGGTCCAACATGAGTCCAGATATAGCCTTTTTCTGGTCTAGTAGGAACAGTAGGAAACGGAGATGATCGAGATTTGAAATATTCTGAAGGTGCATGACAGATGAATTCTAAATACTCCATTTTTCTTGGAAGGTCTTCTTCTGGTCCTGAAACACAAAAATCAAAGTGTTAAGTCTACCAGTAATGTGCAGACTAAACATAATATCCAACAGCCAGCAATATTAAAGAACACTCATCATTCAAATTGCTAACACAGAGGTCAGTTAGGCAAGTTAAAGTACTTAAGATACTTAAAGTACCTAATCACTGTTAGTTAGGCAAGGAATCTCTTAAATTTGTAGAATGAAGGTTTAAGAAGCTAAGAACTAGGGATGCTCAACCCCTGGCCTGCAGGCCACATCCAGCTCCAAGAGTTGTGTATCTGATCTATGGGTCTCCCCACGCATCCAAGCATTTGGCACCAGGGAACAGTTGCTGCTCCCCTGCTGTCAAATGTTCAGACCTGTGGGGAGCCTCACAGACTGGAAAGAATGGTCCTGTAGATTAGACTGGATACACAGAGTGGAACAGGGCTTACTCTCAGTGTGCAGGGCTGGGCGGGTGTGGCACAGGGTGCCACAGCCTGATCCCAGCATGCAGGTTCATCACAGGGCCCAACCTGGGCATACAGGGGCTGGCCAAGGCTGCACCAGGCTGATACAGCCTGAAGAGTAGCCCCATGCCACTCATCTGGCCTGTGGGGCCAGGTCCGAAGGTTGAGCACCACTGAAATCAGCAATGCCAGATGATACTAAAAACTGTTTAAACACTACGTGTCATCCAGGCCCTATTTATTTTATGATTATTTGCAGCAGGGTAGACAGGTAGAAAAAGTCTTGGAGCTTACCAATAATATAGGATGCAGGGTCAAAACAGTCTTTGGGACTGGCTTGGGTAGGAATAAGCCATGTCAATGCAGCACTCTTTTCACAGTATTGGTCCTGAATAAATCCCCTAATCTGAGCATAGTACATTTTTCCATCCTGCTCATCCATCACTGAAACAACGTCTCCAATTTGATAGTACACTCCCTGGAAGAGAGATGGATAATTACTTTTAGAAAAATCTGATTTTAGAAGCAGCTGCATACAGCTGTCCTCAGCCCTATTCAGGGTGCCTTAACTACCAAATGATCTCAACCTTCTCCAAGGGCATCATCAAATCAGCCACACAAATTGAAAGGAAGAGGGAGCTGTGATACAAAGCCCATTTTCACTCAAGCAGTCTACAGCGCTGTTTATACACAAATGCCTAATCTCTAGTGGCCCGAGTTACAGATCCACAGCTGCTTCTACCCTGTGCCAGTGAGCTACTCACTTCTTCAGGACCATAAGGTACCCTGGTACTGTGCTGTAACGTCAATGCACTGCTGTATTACAGTGACTGCACATATTATAATAATACAAGATAATGTAAACAACATTAAACTAAAGCTAATTTTCTCCTGGTAAATCTCATCAAAACTGTGGCTGTTTTCAGAAATGTATCTAATGAGATGACCTTTCATCAGGATTCTTAAAGGATGTAATTTCTGGTCAGATGGGATGATACCTTATCACTACCACAGCAGCAAAAGCCTAGAGATTATGATGCTTCCATGAGAGATGCTTACACGTAGGAGGCCCAGGTGAAGTCCCCATTCCACTGGATTCAGAGAACACTTAAAACTGAATATTTTACATGACAGGTGAGTAGACAATGCCCATGGTAGATATTTGACACCTCCCCCACTTTTTAGAACAACAAATTTTGAAAAGTCTCTGTTTTGCCTGAGTGCAGAATGAAGGCAAATTTCAAATGCCAGGTTTTTTTTCTGAAATGAAATACCTGTTCTCCAGCTATCCTGAATGGAGAGCACTGATAGAGACCTATATAACATCTACCAATTTCTGGGAAGGATCTGGGTTTCATCTCCCTCCTACTGGAACAGTATTCAGAAAAACCCTCTGAACACTGCTCTAAGGAGCCGCCTGTGATTCTAGAGTCAAAGGTTAAGGATCACTGACCTAGACCCCCCATGGACTGCAACAAAGAATGACTGCTGCCACAACTAGCCAGCAGACACATTTTCAGTAGCATAAACAGGTTTTTTGAGGTAACCAGTAACTTATTTACCATTGGTCCTGATTTACCCCCTTGAACAAAGCAGATAAGTGTTTTCTCTTTTTTTTTGGTTTAAATACTCCTATTGTTCAGTTACACCCCAACTATAGGCTCTGCTGTAAACATCCTATTATAGTTTCTGTTAAAAAGAAAACAGGCAATATAAGAATTTATATTTATAGAATTGGTAGAAACACTCATACCAGAGATGGAATGTTTTTTTTCTCTTTTAAGTTTGGACTATGTTTTCATGGACCTGTCCATTATTTATTGTTCCCTTTGTGTCTGAAAGTCACTTCACCGTTCACGCTGGTTGCACTAACATTTATGACTACTCAAAGGCTACTTAAAGGCAAACTCTAGCTCAAAGCTGTACATTTCAATTATTTTTGGTGATCACTTTTACTTAGCTTCCAGAGTAACCCTTTTATTCACCAATTAAGAAGTACAATTCTACAAACTTCAGTTAAAAAAAGCTGGCTCTATAATCAACTCATACAATTTGATGCTTAACCCTCAGAGAAAAAAAAACAAGAGAGAACTTCTGCAATTGTCTTCTGAAGTAAACGATTCACGGGTAGCCAGGTAACGATAAGAGACAATATTACAGACTGAGGGGAAAGTAAATTCTCCTGGAAAAAATATCCTTTCACTATTTGTAGTAACTTTTTAAGATTCTGGAACAAGGACAATGGCAAAAATCTTTTCTTGATCATGCAGTTTACCTTGTAAAAGAGAGATTCTGCTGTGATTATGGTGGATACAGACTCAGGAGCCTTGATGGGCTAAAAAAACAAAACACAACATAAAAGGAGGTGGTTAAAAGAATTGCATGAAAACAGACAGTGCTTTTTGCTGTACAGAGGAGCACTCCTTTGACCATGATATATTTATGATATAATCAAAGACTGTGGTGTCACTAATATTTCTGTTCTCTCAGACTGAAGGTTTAACATAAAAAGAGGGGAATGGAGCTCTGGGTAGTTTTGCTAAGAGGTTAGTGGATTGGTGTAGGACAGTGGTGCTTAACCCTTTGGCCCTATGAGCAGTGCTGGACATGGGCTGGGTCAGGTGACAGGGTTCCTGCCCTGTGCATCTTGGACTTGCTTGAGGGCCAGTGGGCACTGTCCATGCCTCTTTTTGGTGCACTCATTTTGAACCTATGACCTCCCTCCCATCTTTGTTTTCTCTTCAGTTAACCATAAAATGAAATGACGTATCCCCAATAGCACCCTGCTTGCTCCATGAGTGTCAAGCCCACGTTAATCCTATATGTCAAACACGCCTGCCGTGCACGCTGGGCTTGGGTCCTGGGACCTCCCAGCACCACCCTGTCCCCCTGGGATGGGTTCAGGGCCCCGCCCGGCCCTGTGCGCTGGGATGAGCGGGGTGCTCCATGGGGCCCAAGACCAGGCCCACCGCTCCCCCGGCGGGATGCCAGGGCCCTGGCGCCCCCGTGTGGGAGGCTGTCAGTGGGGCCCGGCGCTTACGTTCTTCAGCTTGAAGATGTGCCGGCGGCCCTTGCCCTTGGTGGACACCTTCTTCTCCGCGGCCGGCGCCGACTTGTACTTGGTGTTGCGCAGGCGGGCGGAGCGGCGGTGGATCTCCTGCTTGCTCTGCGGGGACACGGCGCGTTAGGGCCGGGCCGGGCCGGGCTGCCCCGCATTTCCGCCCCGGCCCGG